TCCTAGTGAGACTCTGGCAGCTGCATTCTGACCAGGCTGGAGCTGTTTGATTGTCTTTTTTGGGAGTCCAGTTAGGAGACCATTACAGTGATCAGTCCTGCTAGAAATAAAGACGTGGATGAGTTTTGCAGGTCTGCTTTAGTCAGAACATCTCTGATCTTGTTGATGTTCTTAAGGTGATAAAAAGCTGATTTAGTAACTGGTTTGACACGACTGATAAAACTGAGGTCAGATTTCATCAGTACAAGGTTACGTGCTAGTTCTTTAGATTTTAGGGCTCTTGATTCCAGGTAGGCAGCTAGTCTTTGCCTCTCATTGCTATTCCCAAATAAAATAATCAGTTTTATCTTTATTCTACTGCAGAAAGTTTTGTTGCATCCAGTTAGTGATGAGCTCAAGGCCCTTACAGAGTGAGTCTGTTTACACTACAGCTGGCCAGTATGATGATGGTGCTCAAATTACATGTTTTGTTGATTTTCTAAGTGGAAATAAGTTAACACATCCTCCACAGACAACACACCTAAATGTGGCATATTTCTGCATATCTCAGTGCACAATTTCTGTTTATTTGCTGAGTTTAACGTATTGGAAACAAAGGCATAAAATATAAAATGTGCTATAAGTTTTGTACGTGCCACATTTTATGTTTAGTCTTTTATAATATGCTTAAATCATCACATAGTAGTTGTGTATTGAAAGTTAAAAGTCAAAGTGTGATCTCTGTAGATGATGTGTGCTTATTAAAACAAAAAAACGTACAGTTGGAGCAGATGTGCCCAAACTTTTGCATATGACTCTATGTTACACTGAGTGACAAAATTGTTATTCTTTTTTGGTCTTCAGTCCCTTTAATTAGAGAATATAACTGTCCCGTATTGCGCTGGAATACATGTTTGAGTTACATTGACTCCTTACACTCTGCCCTTAAGTTTTTCTATTTTAAAATGTTAGCTTATGCAGCAGTACAATAATTTACCTTTCTCTTAAGAAAGTGAATACAGTGTACTTTTAAACCTTATTTAAGGTACACTGTAGAATCTTAAAGGAGAATTAAAAAAAATTCTTTGATCATTCAGTTATAAACTCGGTCATTCAGAGAAACTTACTGACTTAAATTTCTTTACATTGGTGGTGATAGGAACCAGGGTTGTGATGTCTACAATGTGAAAAATAACCATTTTATTTACTATCCAAAACCACACGTGAACCTACATTTGACCTCTGAGTTTTTTGTGTAATGTTGATAACAGTTAAAAAAATACATCTGAAAAAATAAGTTTTTTGTGGGGACTTTTGTTTTGCCTTTTAAATGCCCCGCATGTGCATCTCTTCCATAAATGGGATAACAAAAATGTGTTTTAGGGCAATATTGTCATAACTGTCAAAACAATGAGTGTGTTTACATGCGCTCAGTAATCCGATAACTGCAGAAAATCAGATTTTGTCAGTAACGCGATCAACACTTTTACATGCACTTGAGTAATCAGATAATGGGAAACTCTGGGGTCTACATGGGTCAGACAGTAATCAGATTTCTGCTATGCAGCCAGCCAATAAACTCACAGAAGAAGACGTGATGTAAACGTAACGTGAAAACTCAAACTTCATGCTGCGGCTTTTTTTAAAAAACAATGCGCCACTTTACCTGAAACTATAAACATACATCATCTAGAAGATGAAGAATATTCAAATCCTTCATTTCGTCAAGCTAGCTGTTGGTTTCAGCGTCGCTCCAAAAGTGTTTTGCTGCGTCTCGCGGTGATGCTGCTCGCTTATTTCCGGTGCCACCATCTTTTTTTTGCGCATGCGCAGCCTGAGAAATACGAAAGAAATCAGAGTAAGAGTTCGCATGCACTGAGAAATCTGATTAATGAGCTAAAATCCAGCCTCTTTAACGGATTTCTTAATCAAATTTCTAGATCAGAGTATGATGTTTACATGACCATTTGAATAATTGGATACCTGCTATGATTGGATTATTGAGAGCATGTAAAAGCACTCAATGTTATAGGCATCACCATGGTACTGTACTTCTGCATTGTACTTCTGGATCATCTCTTCTCAGAGTTCAAGCGTTGTCTGCTTTTCCATGCTGGAAATCGCTCGATGAAATCACTTGCCATACGGATCACTCACAGTAGAGATTCTCAGGGAAGAGAGACCAGAAAATGTGTTTTTATGATGTTACACCCCAAAGCTCTGCACGATGTCAATAGGTCATTCATTATTTCACAGTAGTTTTTCTCTTTACGATATCTGCCTTATCTCTCTGACTCAAACCTCAAACTGTTTCCATTTGTTTTACACATCTCATATAATCTCACATAACATTATCCTATTGAGTTTTATTCATTTATGTTTACCTGTTGTTTGATGTTGCTTCCTGTTCCTTCTTAATTCCTAGTTTTCATGCAAATGTCGAATAACAAATGGTTTTAATTTTTTTGTTTTTTTATAGTCTTTTTTAAATGTGCAGCCGCTGTTTTGCTGCTGCATTTTGTCAATTCAAACTTGTTGACAAACCTCAGACAAACAAAGTCCTGTGATATTTATCGAATCATGACAATGTCTTGTATTGTGATGTTACATTTTCGCCATATTGCCCGCCTTTTCTGGATACCTCATTTGACCTCCAGCACTGTCAATAACCCTTTGATTCTTCCCTTGCTCTCCCTCAGGTGAGGTCATCACCCATAGCTGAGCCATGACAAATGACATCATTAACGGCATTCTGTGTTTACATAAGCCGCAGGCTGAGGAGCACGACTCTTCTCGGAGACGGTAGGCAGACGCGCTGCGTCTCTTTACTGGCTCATGCCTTTCCTTTTTAAGGCAGGTCGGAGAGACCTCAAGATCGGCCTTGTGTGTCTTACTCAGTAGCTCCAAGAAGAGAGGCCTAACAGCGCAAGGATGAGGTGGCTTGCCATCTTGTAGGTCCCTGATGTTCTCACGTTTTAAAAATACCGGTGATAAACTGGGGTTTCTCACGATTATAATCACTTCCAACAGGGTGTTCAATCCTTTTAAGGGAATAAGGAACACAGCCTGAGGATGATATAAACACGAAAGACAGGGATATAACTAAGTTAGCCTGTCCTAAATAATGTTTCTAATACAGTTCTTGTTTCAGTGAATTTGATTAAAGCTGCACTATGTAAGCTTTAAGAGAAAATATGTTCAAATATGGTGTGCGTGCACTGCTGCGAGTCATACAGTAAAGCCTGAAATTATGATAAATAAAATCTCTCAAAATAAAATTCTGAGATGTCAGGGTTGGATTTGGTGGGAATTTACAACCATGTCATAGATCTTCACCTATCATCAGACACCCAGGCTCAAAAAGAAGGTCTGCCTCAATGTTTAGGTCTCAAATGCAAAATCAACGTGATACTGATGAAGATATAAAGACAATAGCAAATAATTCACTTACTTCCTCGCAAGATGTGTCCTCATCATGTTTTGACTGAGTTCTCTTTGAATAGTCTGTCAATGCACTCACAGTCATCAGATTCATCCTGTTGGGGAAGGGGTGCAATTATTGTTCTGTGCAATTACACCTTTCCACCACAGAGGTCTCCAAATCCCCAAATCTTACACAGTGTAGCTTTAACTCCCACTTTACTATCAATAACCCAATGAATCGTTGTGGAACAACTTCTAAAAGTTCTTGAGTTAGTGCTTGAAGTAGTTATTGAACATTGGCAGGCTGACCATGAATGAAATAAAGTCAATGCTCCTTTCTCATCCTCTCTGTCTACATCCACACTGACGGTTAAATACAGTTAGCTGGCTACATACGTAACCAGGACCAATGAACAGCTAAAAGGTTAGAAAGATAAAGAGGAGAGAGAGAGAGAGAAAGTTGCGAGTTGGGTTGGAACAATAATGTGCATCATCTGGGGAGCCCTGAGAAGCAGGTTGGGGACCACAGTCTACACTCTTAAATGTACTAAAGGTGCTAAAACATTGTAATAAAGCCCAAGAAGAACCATATTGGCTCCCTAAGGAACCTTTTAGTGAATTGTTCTTAAAAAACATTTTGATGCAACTCATTTGTTCAGTAGGGTTGGAATCCCCATTAACATGACACTAGACAAACAATATGCTGATATGTTATTATAATCATGATAAATTATGCCACAGTACACTTTTCTGAGCATATGGTGGAATTCATCCGAGCTAAAAGAACACTAAACAACCGCATGCATCATGAAAAATACCAATTTAGAGATTCTGCAGAGAGCATTATTTTGTTATATAACAAGATAACTTATTTTATTAGTTTATTATCAGTGTTGGGATAGTTATCTTAACCTTTTAATTATACAGAAATCTTGATAAATTTAATTTCTAAGAGACCAGTAATAGAGGTTTCGATCCTCTTTCTAATTATTATATCCAGTACAGTGATGATTAAAGATGCCAAAAGGTTTCTTTGGAGTGATGCCACACTTTATTTTTGTTTCTCAAATAACTTTTCAATGGATGGTTCTTTAAAAAACAGTTTTGGTAATGAGATTTGGAGTTGGAAGAAGCTTCTCAAAGTTTAAAGAACTTCCACACAAGTTCTTTACTGGTTAAAGATTTTTCCTAGAACTGTATGTCCAAGCCAAGAACCAAATAGGGACCTTTATTTTTAAGAGTGTACACAACCCTTACATTAAAAAAGATATTCTTCACATTTGCACATCTCACTCACAGAAACAGTTCTTTAAAGAACCACTAACTGAAAGGTTCTTCAGGGAAAACGTTTTTCTTCTATGGGCACCACTCCAAAGACTTTTTAAGAGTGCAGCTACTGAAGTCTTAAGAGTAAAAAGTGAAGAGCCTGGGCTCAGAGGGGTTAAACTGATGATGATGATTATAATGATGATGAAAATGGAAGCAGGAACAGAAGGTAATGACCAGAGTGGACAAGGATAGAAGATGAGGTTTGGTGAGAATGGTGAGGGAGGGGTTGGGATGGGTTTGTCTTTGTGCCTTTGGGGAGGGGATGTGTAAAGAGGGTTTGCCTTCTACAAATAGCCTCAGCCGAGCTCGTCCTGCCCTCACTCCTGTCTCTCTCCTCTGGGGAGCCTGTCTGTGTCCGAAATGAGCCGCTCCTCTTACGCCTCCTCCCAGTCCTCCTCGTACCGCCGCGCCTTCGGTGGCCCTGGTTTCGTCACCCCACCCATGTCCCGGGCCATGTTCAGCCGCTCCTCGCTGGGTGGCTCTGGGGGCTCCCACGTCAGCTCCCGGGTCTACGAGGTGACCAAGACGGCCTCGAGCTCTCCCAGCTACTCCGGCTACCGCGCCTCCTCCTACGCCCTCCCCAGCCTGTCAGCGGGCGTATCCCGCTCGTATGCATCTGGCCTGGGTGAGACGCTGGACTTCAACCTGGCCGACGCCCTCAACCAAGAGTTCCTGCAGACGCGCACCAATGAGAAGGCCGAGCTGCAGCACCTGAATGACCGCTTCGCCAGCTACATCGAGAAGGTGCGCTTTCTTGAGCAGCAGAACCAGGCCCTGGTGGTGGAGGTGGAGCGGCTGAGGGGCCGCGAACCCACCCGCATCGCCGACCTCTATGAAGAGGAGATGAGGGAGCTGAGACGGCAGGTGGAGGTCGTCACCAACCAGAGGTCCCGTGTGGAGGTGGAACGCGACAACCTGGCCGACGACCTGCAAAAGCTCAAGCTCAGGTAAAGGGGAGCTAGGGGTCAAAGAACTAGAATAAGGGTGGATTATATCTGTTACTACATGTTTAATAAGGATTTATAACAGTGAAAATGTGGAAGTATGTATTGGATACCATATAGATGCATGTATGCTACATCTGGAAGATGCACTTGTATGCTTCAGTATAGTATATGATACATGTATTCAGTTCTGTGTAATTTAGCACAAAAGTGTGAGTTTATATGTATTGTTTACACTACACTTATCAGTTCCTTTCAGAAATAATAAAAGGCTGGAGGCATGGAGTAGGGGGGATAGGATACTTTTAGCTGCTAGCTGTTACAGTATGTTCAATAACTGCCTTTTTAAAAGGATTAGAGTTTATGCTAAGACCGGGCAATATGGCAAAAGTATAATAGACTTTTTTCACAATACATGATACACATTACAGTGTATACAGTTTGGAACAATGTACAATGATTGAACAGAATGATTTTTATTCAACATTTTATATATGGTAACTACACCAAATCCAATTAAACAGGGCTATTTATTAGTTTTGGGATAGTTATTCAAAAAATGTAATTCATTACAAATTACTAATAACTTCTCTCAGTCTCTACTGCGCATTACTGATTACGTCATGGAAAAGTAAACTCACTATTATTACTTTACTTCTGTTAATCTCTTAAACCATACAAATCTGTATCAAATAGAAAGTCCTCTCAGTACTTTAGAGAAAAATAGCCAATCAGAGTAAACTTAATGTTAAAGGGCCATCACTGTCACTGCCTTTGAACAAGATACAGGCAGTTAGGCTTGAAAACTTAAACTAGCCACTAGAAAAGGTTTAAAAACAGCTGCTTTCATATTATCTTTATTAATAAGATGTAATGCCTACAGAGTTTTTCCTAAAGAATGGCCTGTTTATTAGGTGAGACTGTGGCTCTCTCTTCTGTAATACTGGGATCTTTATCCATCAGTTTCATATTAGATGCTTTGACAGATTGACAGTTCTTATCGAGATGATTTTAAGGCACTTCCTGCGCTCACGCTACTCACATTCACAGTCAGCAGCTAGCACATGCACAAATTACATACAAAAACACAATAGAATAATCTATACGGAGTTTTTGGTACAGTATGTAATACTGTACCAAATAATAAAAGATACTGTATGTCTATGCAGTCCATATATGGCAGCTAAGCTGCAAATACATCATGTTTTGAATTCATTGCTTTAGTGATATCATGAAAACTATGCATTTAAATACTGTAAAAAATAGAAAAAAATACTTCATGTGGTAACAAGCATTAACTAGTTTTATTCAACTTAAACACTTCAAATGAACAATTTCTTCAATAAAAAGTAATTTTGAGTTGAATAAAACTAGTTCATTTGCTTGCTATCACATGAAGTATTTATTTCAAACTGATGAACCATATTTTACAGTGCATATGTCTGCCTGTAGCAATTTAGCCCCGCCCATTTTTGGTGAAGTTATAAGCAGGGTTTCAGCGTATAGCTGCTGTCAGAACAAAACCTTGTATCTCCATTTTTGTCACTTTTCTCTTTTTGACATAATTTGAAGACTGTTGTCCTTTACGTTGTATGTAAATTTCCTGATGAATGGACTGAAGGAAACAGCCCAAAATGACGTGGAAAAAAGTCTGGTTCCATAGACTTGCGTTAAAAGTAAAGTATGTTCTTTCTTTCTCCTATAAAGTTACTATTTTGGAGATACAAGGTTTTGATCCGACAACAGCAACGTGCTGCTTTTGAATGAGACAAAACAAAAGGCAGCCAGTCAGATGCTATTTTCATATGTCAGCCCTAAGCGTACAATAAGACAAGCAGCCTGTTAAATTCTAAGGGATTAACAGAGGTTGGAAAATGGTCATGTAAAAATGATTTGCAACACCAAACCATACAATCCTTATAGGGGAAAAAATTTAAATACTCAAAAAATTGCTTAATATAGGCTCTTTAAGTACTGGCAATGTCCACAATGCTCAGAAAAGCATATTGTGACATAATTTATTGAAAACAATCGCATACTGTCATATTACAGACCCCTAGTTTGTACCACTGTTGTGAAATTATGAACTGTATACCATATTGAAGCATGCATTCACTTTAGTTAGAGTTCATACAGAAAGTATGAGAAAATTCACTATATTGTGTCACAAATTATATACTTTCCTGTATCTTGTCAGAACTCAAAACACATTACATAACTGTCCTTATCAACTGACATTCAGGGCCAGCGGGGTCAGACACTTACTATTGCCCCCAAGCAACGCACAAAAACACGTGCACTCCCTCTGCTCCCCTCAGGCCAGCGCTGACATAGTGAGGACACAGTAAACAGTAGCCAACAACACAGGAACTTGTGCTACAGCTAAATTAATACGCTGAAGCTGGCAGTGATGCAGCAGATTGTGACTCTTGTGGCACCGAGGGAAAAAACACTGTAAAGCTCATTCTAGAAGAGCAGAGATGTCGTTTGGACACAAGGTTACCAGCATCCAGAGTTATTTCTGTACAGCTGTCTGTAATGTGGTGCAGCGTCCTCAGATGCTGTGTGCTTGTGTGTGTGTGATACATGTGTCATCATGTGTTTATATTCACAGACTGTTTCTCAGCCAGTGGATAAAGCCTATGCTATATTTAGGCATGGCTCTGAGCTCAGGCTGCCACGCTGCTGGGTGGATGCTCTAAATGTTTAGCGCCAGAACATGGCCTGCAGTTGAGTTTGGAGAGAGGGGTGGAGGAGTAGTGAGCATGTGAGAGGGATCAGCTTTCACTGCTGGGGTTAGAAATGCAGTGAAGGGCTGCAAAGCACAGGTGTAGTGCATTTGTTAGAGAATTACCTCCGACTACAGCTAATAGTATTTAAGGTAAAAGTCTGATATGAATGCTGATATGAATGCCTATTAATAGAATAGCTTTTCAAAGTTTTAAGCATGTTTCCTTTGGCAGTTTACAGTAACTTAAAGTAAAAGTTTGAACAAATGTAAAGCTAATGAAAGCTAGTAGCCACAATCATAACTGGTGGCTGCTAATATCCATTTAATATTCAATTTTTCTGACTTAACTGGTCTTTTAACTTAACATATTCAAGACTAATAAGGTTTATTTTATTGTAAACAATATCAGATGACATCTGTGACACAGCTGCTTTGGGAATAATGGCATGCTTCACAAATTTGTTCTTCACCTGTTGCACCAGCTGAATGCAAGATTAATTATAAGCTAGTTTGAACATGAACTGCCTCTACATTCATATTTACTCAAAATGCCCCACAACAGTAGAAATATGACTGATATACTTTACCTGAACTAACTGTGTAATACAGAAAGATGACTGTTAGTTACCTTCATATTTATGGCTCTAGCTTTTTCTGTTTTGTTTGGCTGCAGATGGTGAAAAACATCATCTGTGCAAGAACTGAAATCTGATGTATCATTAGTTTTAAACAACTCTCAACTTGTTCTGGATAAACTTTACATCCAGCCTGACTCACGATCAGACTTACATTCAGCTGGTGCAACTGCCTACTGTTCATACCAGGGAAGAGTAGGCAGTTGCACTGCCCACCTACTGTCTGCACACTTAAAAATGATAGTTCTTCAAGGGTTCTTTAGTAAAGAAAGTGGTTCTATATAGAACCATGAACACTCAAAGAACCCTTTGCATGATTAAAGGGTTCTTTGCATCGTGAAAGCGTTCTTCAGATTGATGGAGAATGTGCTGCAGATGGTTCTATATAGAACCTTTTTGAAAAGGGTTCTTCTACAGTAACAAACCTGACACCATAACAATAGAAGAACCCTTTTTGGTGCCATATAGAACCCTTTTCAAAAATACAGTACATATACAGCACATTTTTCATCAACGTGAAGAACATTTTCACGATACAAAGAACCCTTGAATAATGCAAAGGGTTCTTTGAACATACATGGTTCTGTATAGAACGTCTTTGCTAAAGAACCCTACCCAGCCTACTGTTCATACCGAGTAAGATACTTTAATGAACCTTTAATGAAGCTAAATACACTTGAAATATTACCTTTTTTGCTTTATATTTTTATATTAACACAAAACCTTTTGGTAATTTGAATCAAAATATTTAAAATACAGACGCTCTGTATGTGATTCTGTAAATTGCAGTTTTACACTAAAAGCTGGATAATTACTTAAATCTAAAGCCTAACAGGGAGTGTTACTAGAGTAGCCTGTTAGCTAGCTACCCTGCTGAGCTGTTCATGCTAAATTAACTAGTTCAGCAAAACCGTGTTCTGTGTTCAGCCTATTTTTTGATCTCATACTGTAAATTTTAACTACCAAAATTGGAAGTTAAAATTTAATCCTTGAATGGAGTTTAATGTACTGTAAAAGTAATCCAGGATTAAAATGTTGGTTTAAATGTAACCCTGATTATTTTTTAACTAGGCTTGATTCTACAAGATTAATAAATAAACCTTGATTTAATCAATTTAAAGTTTAAGCTGAATCCTTGTTGGTGCCACCCACCCTTAAAGTATTTTTATCTTACCTTTTTAAAAACGTAGTTCATATCTCTGGTCATGTTACACATCATATTTTTGATGGGAGTGTAATCCTTTTGTCCGCCTCTAAAACTTATTCTGATTTTGGCTACATCACTGTGTGCCAGCAGGAGGGGAACGATAAAATTAACCAATAATATCATGTTTCACCTTCCCAACCGCGACCCTCACCTATCATAGACTATCTGCACCCTGTAGTAAACAAAATGGTTTTGTCTTATGTATATTTTCCCATTGAATGTCCTGGATGTTTAGCAGTCACCATACAAATAATGCTGCATACAAGCTACAAACCAGCTAAAACGGCTGTGCACTGAAATGATGTTGCATGAAAGTAAGTCTACTATTGAACTTCAAGATGTCCAGAGCCTCTTAAATACCACATTTGACAAAGCCAGCTGGTTTGTTTGGGGTATTTTGATGAGGTCGCTAGTCTAAAGATGGTAGTTCAGTGCGCAGCAGAGTTAGCTTGCATGTAGCAATACTTGTATTTCGGCTCCTTAATGAACTCGTAATTCCGAGGATCCAATGACGTTCGGCAGAGAAATGTCCATATGTTAAAATGTATCTGCACCAGAATATTTTGTTTACCACAGGACGTGATGGGGCAATTTTTGAAAACGCCATTCATTTTTGTCATAGAGAAAAGCAGCTCCTAATATGGGCATGACATTGACCACAGAGTGACGACACAACCTCAGAAGTCTGTGGAACAAAAACCCTCAGCTACCTCACAGACCCTCAATGATACTTGGAAATGCATCTTAGTATGGAACGCATTATGATTTCTGATTCAGGGTCACTTTAACTGGAAAGGAACAGTGAGAAAGTTCAAATTTCAAAGTTCAAATGTCTCCAGTTTTCCATGGTCAGTATATGGCTGTCTTGCTCTGGCGCAGCCATAATTATCACAAGCAAAGGCAACAAAACCAGACCTTGGGAAGCAAACTGTTCGAACAGGCTTTTGTATAAAGGAAGTGATTGACACACACATACACAAACACAGTTTACATTTCCTCAGCTTTTCTTCCTATTCAGGACGCAGTATCAAGGCATCTTTGGCCTCATGCCCTGGAGAAGAGGGAGTGTGTGTATGAGCGAGGGAAAGAGAATGAGAGAGTGCTCGCCTCTATAAAAGGAGAGGAAAGAAGTGGCCTTCATAAATATAAGCTTCATATCTCTGTATTGTCCCTCGCTGCAGGCTCCAGGAGGAGATCGCACAAAGAGAGGAGGCTGAGAACAACCTTGCAGCTTTCAGAGCTGTACGTATTACTCTCATAGTGGAACACCAAGTTCTCCATGCTTTTAGAGCTTTACCTAAGAAAGAGCATTTGGATTTCCTTGTTTTTTCACTTTTTCAAGGGGTCCAAGCACTTTGAGTGGGAACCCTCAAGTTTAGTTAAGCTTATGTTACTTTATATAATGTAATAGGGGTCCAAGCACTTTGTGTGGGAACCCGCAAGTTTTGTTAAGCTTATATTATATTATATTATATTATATTATATTATATTATATTATATCATAGGGGTCCAAGCACTTTGTGTAGGAACCCTCAAGTTTTGTTAAGCTTATATTATATTATATTATATTATATTATATTATATTATATTATAGGGGTCCAAGCACTTTGTGTAGGAACCCTCAAGTTTTGTGAAGCTTATATTATATTAGTGTATTATATTATTGTATTATGGAGTGTAGTGTGAAATAATGATATCTCAATAAATCTTTACTGTCATTAATCCTATACTAAAATCTCTTAATTAAACAGGATGTGGATGCTGCCACACTGGCCCGTCTGGATCTAGAGAGGCGCATAGAAACTCTGCAAGAGGAAATCGCCTTCCTCAAGAAGATCCACGAAGAGGTCAGATCAGCCTATGCTTATTAAAACATAAACACACATTGGTGTTTCCTGTTTTTGTGAGGTGTTTCCATTGATTTTTTTTAAATGTTGCTAGTCCAAGTAGAACATGCTTTTGGTGATGTTTCTATTCTCACATTTCTCATGGCGTCACACTGTATAGCTGCCATTTTGAGGACTGAATCAGAAGTAACTGTGCTGTGCGATGCCTTCAATTCGCTGTGCTTTGTGAATGATTAAACTGCAAGACGCGTCAGAAGCCGAGAGACGAGAGACATACAGACCTTTAATTCAGTGTTCTCGAACTCCAGGCTTGGAGCCGCTGCACTGTATAGTTCAGTGTTTCTCTCTGCTGTTCACACCCGTTTAGCTCAAGAAGGGATTCGTTAGCTAATAATATCAGGTATTTTAACCAGGAAACCACAGTTATGCAGTGAAGGTTTCAGGACTGGAGCTGAACTCTGAACTAACTGCACCAGCAAACTTACAGAATCACGTCTGTTGAAACACGACGTCGTTTTCCGACCCACAACATTCAGTCTGATATTTAACGTTTATGTTTCTCCATTCAAACCTCATTTAAATCTCCAGAAACAGAGAGTGAAGTTATACCAGCTGTCTGCAGCTCCGTTAGGGGGACGACTGCTAACATTAGCTAAAGTTATCTAAAGGCCGGCGTTTTTCACTTCTGTGTTGATTAGCTGATGTTGTTACCCTCCTATGATGACAGCGTTTATCTCCTCTTTATGCAACACCATGGGGTCCTTTACCCGCCCTGACGTGAAGAGCCGGTGGGCTTCTGTGCTTTTAAATGCTTTGAGAGACTCTCCAGAATATGGAGAGGGGCTGAGTATGAGATAAATATAAATGTCAAGACAACACAAATTTTGTAGCTTTTCCGCCAGTTTAAGTGGGACCAGGAGTTCAGGGGGAAACTGTATAAGGATCTCAGCCTATATCATGGAATTTGTCAAGGTAACATTTTTTCTCTTCCAGAGTAAGGAGAGTAATTTCCCCCTTTTTCCCCTCTAGTTACATTCGTGCGGAGCAGCAAAGCCAGAAATTCGGTCCCAAATATAGCAGCCAGAACAGAAAAATCACAACTGAAACCCTAGGATAGCAATATCATTGCATTTTCACAGCAGTTGGACAGATAATTTTCAAGATTCACCACAAACCTCAATACACAAATGTGTGTATAAGTGACAGAATTCACAACTATATATTTTTTAATCTCTTCATACTTTATTAGCAGCCTGGCTAGCTCTCACACTGAAAGCCACAGCTTCCACATGGTGGGATTAATTTTAAAGCACCCTTTCTCATGTAAAAACAAATTTTCCTTGCTTGTAGTATGTAACAATGTTAAAGTTTCAAAATGTACTGTTCACTTCCCGGTCCATACAGTTTATTGATTTAAACTAAGCTGCAAAACCAGCCTGTTTTAGATTAATTGTTTTTGTTCTGTGTCATGAAAACATATTTACATGTATCTGCAGTTTAGCCCCGCCCATTCACGCTGAAGTAACAAGGAATGTTTCAGCCTAGATTGCTTTCTGAATGAGGCACAATACAGGGCAGCCAGCAGGGGTCATTTACATACATTAGTCTTAATTGCACATTAAGAAAAACAAGCCAGTTTATTTTGTAAGGCATAAAGAAAGAAAATGGTCACGTATAAATGGACTATGATATTTTTTGGTACATAAAACCACACAAATGTCATAAGTGGATATCATGGAAAAAAATTAATACAAGAGAAATGTAGGACATGGGCCCTTTAACACAACTACAATATACCTACCACTGTAAACAAGTCCATATCAATGCATATTAGTTCAAGTGAATTTTTTGGTGCCTTTTTATTTACAGACTAATCAAAAATGTACTATAGATGTTATGTATATAAGAGATATACATTTGTGCTGATCTGTGCGGTTCTACTACAGTTTGGCAGCGTTTGTCTCTTTCATCATATTCACATAATATATAGATGCATATATTTTAATGTATTTATGATGAAAAGTTCATCTGATTTAAACAACAACAAAGAAACTGTACTGAATTAAATGGGTTTACATCATTTTTACCAAACTTTTACAGCAAATATAACAACCCGCCTTTGCAACGTTACCGCTTACCCTACCTAAGGGGTAAGTTGTAACATTTGTACTCGTGTCATGTTCATCTGAATAGTTCATAAACGGTAGATGCTGGAAACAAGGCTTACATTTTTGTTTGCAGCAGAGATGTGTAGGTTGCTTGTATAAAATAATTATACATACTGCTCAGATATTTTTAAAGTCATTAGCAAAAACCATGTGATAGGTTGTGCCCTGCTCTCCCACAGTGTAGGTAACAGCTGCTGTGCTACATCTAACCCAACCACTCAGGAACCAACCTGAAAACGTTTTACTTTTTTCAACTAAATTATTTGTCCTCTGGGGATCAGCCAAGTGACCCCAAAATGTCCGAATGGTCTTCTTTTCTACCATACTGGGAACATTTTGTCCCCACAAAGAGCTAAATATACAGCCACACAGTGATTATTTCCTCTGAGCATCTTGTGAGAGTGTGATCGTCAGGGCTTAATTACAGGGCTGTATCTGTTACTGCAGACTGCACTGCCGCTTTCAAGTACAGTATGACTGGTCACGATTAAAGGGCCAAATGTACACAAGCAGAGAGTCCATCACGAGTCCTATTATGACCGCAGCTATGCTTATAGCTTCATTTGAATACTAACAGACATCTCTCTCCCTCTGTATGTTCAGGAGATCCGTGAGCTGCAGGCTCAGATGCAGGAGACTCAGGTGCAGATCCAGATGGATCTGTCCAAGCCGGACCTGACAGGCGCGCTGAGAGACATCCGCTCTCAGTACGAAGCCATCGCTGCCAAAAACATCGCCGAGGCTGAGGACTGGTACAAGTCTAAGGTGACAGACAGTAACGGATATACAGAGAGAAGAGAGAGGAGAGGAAAACTTAACTTTATTTATACAGTGTCCTCTCTTTAAAGGAATACGGTTTTCATGTACTCAGTAAAAGAACATTCATAAAGTTAAAAATAGAAGGTGAAGAAAATATATATATATATATATATATATATATATACATATATATATATATATATATATATATATATATTCTATTACTTTACTATATTATATATATATGTTCTATTACTAAGTACAGAATTATTGTCTGTTGTAATCGACCATATATAACCGAGAAAGCAGAGAGAAATCATGTTGGAAAAAACCCTACATATTCATTCTAAGGGCCAGATTCATAAAATTGTCTTAAGAAAGAAAATCTTCCTTTTTCTTAACTTCACTCTTAAGAAAAAGCTACAAGAAGTTGTTATTTTTCTAAAATATTATTAAGAATTTTCTTTTTTTCTTGTCTTAACAATTTTCTCAAGAATAATTCTAAGAACAAGTGGTATTTTTAAAAATATTATTTTCTTAAATGTTTTCTTAACCTTGCGATAGACTCTGTCTGACACTGTCTTAGGCTGTAAAAGTTGACAAGGTCAGCGTCTAAATTTATCACGGACGCTGCCTCTGCTACTCCTGCTCATCCTCGTCCGTCACCCCACAGTTATCATGTTTTTCAATGATTTTTTTTCCTGTTGGCTGTTTCTTCCACCATCATTTCTGGTTCTTGTTTGCTAATTTTTTTTTAAACGCTTGGATTAATGTTTTTTCCCCATTTTGCTCCTCTGAACGGATTAAACTAAATAACGGAAATAACAATTAATACAAATTCAAAATGTATCTCGCATCGTTTATGGTACATGGTAAAATACAAAGTTGCATACAAGAAAACAAAAGAAAATCTTAAGAAAATCTTAGGAAAGTAATTAAGATTGCTTTCAGAGAATATTTGAGAACTTAAGTTTATTAAGAACATTATGTACTTATTAGTGTTTATCTTAGGAACCTTCCCAAGTTTTTTCTTAAGAAAGCTTTCGTGAATTCGGCCCCAGTTTCTAGGCATGGATTAGGCCTTGTCTTGGACTGAACTGTAGTGTCAATAGTAAATAACAATTGGAGTTTTTCTTTCTAGGCCTAGGTGTAATCTAGATATGGAAAACTGGCCTTGAAAATATGATAAGGCAGCTTTAGGTAATATAAAACTGAATAAACAATGACAAATCAATAGACAAATAAATATACAATAATAATAAAAATGAAAAACAAGATTAAAACAGTAATAGTACAACAGATAAAATTAGCCGGGGAATTCGTGAAACTGTATCTTAAATAAAAACTAGAATAAAATGACTACTTTTAAAAATATAGTATCTAAAGTTCTGAAAATTAATTGGTAGATTGTCCCTTAATTTTAGAGCTCTGCATGCAAATACCTTTTCTTCCTGCTGTAGAAAAAACAAACGGTGTCATCAATGCAATGCACTGTTTTTATAAAGCACCAAAAGCTAATTGAGTGCTAATGACAAACCCATGTGGAGAATCTTCAGCCTGCTAAATGTGAGTGAGTGAATCAGTCAGTCAGTTAATTGGGTAGATACATACATGAGGCACTTCACTAACAAACACTGCAGCTTAATAAAGTCAGGATACAGTCACATAGGAAATCCGTATGTTTAACTCGGCTGTAACACTTTCCTTTTACTCTTTGACCCCAGGTGTCAGATCTGAACCAAGCAGTGACCAAGAACAATGAGGCACTGAAACAGGCCAAGCTGGAGACCATGGAGTTCAGACACCAGATTCAGTCCTACACTTGCGAGATTGACTCGCTGAAGGGCACTGTGAGTTTCATACATACCTCATCAACATGCAGTCTGTACCGTTCATAGACCACTGCTTAAAGGTTTGGAACTGCATGTTATATTAATAATTGCTGTTACATGTATCTCCAAAATGGAGGAGGCAAAGACATTATTAGGTTTTAATGTAATTTGATATAGAAATATTTTATTCCAAGTAATTTTGGAGCGTTTTTTGGGTACAGCAATGATGTCTTTAAATGTATTTCATGTATTTGAATTTCATGTCAAGTTATCCATCTTGAGGAATGATGACCATTCACAGTATTAATTTTATAACCATATTTTTGGTGTTGTACAGCTTTCGTTATAATTTTATAACCATCTGCAGCTCTGTTCATCAATCAGGACATCTAAAATGTCTTCATTTTTTACAGATTATTGAAAAATATATGAAGTTGTAGAGCGCTAATATCATATTAAAATGATTTTATAGATGTATCTGCAACAAAACTGTTTTTTTTATTGATAAAAACAGCCATTCCAAACTTTTAAACATTGTGATACCTTAAGAAATGTATTTATGTAGTTTCTTGATAACTTAAAGGAATAAATCTGTTGATTTTAAATGCATTTATAATAGAAACCAATTTGCAGGTGCTAAAGCATGGTATCCGTGGTATCTCTCCCTTTGTTTCTAATCCTTTTTCTTTCATTGTCTCTCCAGAACGAGTCTCTGATGAGGCAGATGAGGGACATGGAGGACCGTCACGGGCGCGAGGCCTCTGGCTTCCAGGACACCATTGCCAGACTGGAGGCTGAGATTGCCAACATGAAGGACGAGATGGCCCGCCACTTGCGCGAGTACCAGGATCTGCTCAACGTCAAGATGGCCCTCGACGTGGAGATCGCCACCTACAGGAAACTGCTGGAGGGAGAGGAGAGCAGGTAGGACCGCAAGCCTGAGGAGCCAGCATTCCCATCTACTTTAATAGAAACACCTACTTTCTGACCACAGTTACAGACTGTAGCTGTTGTTATGCACTTTGTCAGCTGCCCTCTTTTTCATTCATTAGTGGTCAGGTTCTGACAAAAGGCCAAGACCACCCTTTCATTTATTAAATATTCTGTCAAAACGACTATTAAGCACAAGTTATGTATTTTTCAGTGTCAGGAAAAAAACAGAATTACACAATTTCAACAGCTAATTATATCAAATGTCTCAGAATGTCTTCCATTCTTTTCAGGAGACTTGCTTTCAGCTTTTCAAAGAAATCTACAGTGATATTTTCCCATTCTTCTTGTCAACACCTCCAGAAGTAGAGGTGTTAGAAGTTGGTTGCATTTTGTCCTTCTCACGATCCAAATGATCCCAATTACAAATTAAGATTCATCAGTCCATAAAACCTTACTCCACATCTCAGATGTCCAGTTTTGATTTTCTAGTGCATTTCTTTGTCTATTTCCCACTAATAATTTCTTCTTTGGTTACTAAAATATTTTAATGTGTTTAGCAAAATGTCACAAGCAACTCAGCTGAGCAGTGCATTTACAGTCCTGCAGCAAATGATCCTGTGTGGAGCACAGAATAAAACTAATTAAGTTAATAAGAAAGAGATTTAATCAAACCACTTTGGTATCCTTTAAATGTGCGGTGGCAGGATTTTTAAGCTAAAAAAAAAAAACAATCAATAATAAAGCATTACAAGAGCATTAGCAAATAGGCTGCAGTCATCAGGCTGTGTGAGCTCCTGTTGTGGTTAAAGCAGCTTTGCCCAAGACTCGTCCCTTTCAAATCCACAAAGAAATGTTACAAAAGCCGACTAATCAAACAGAAATGATTATAATAACACAAAATACCAGTCAAATGTTTGGACACATCTGACTTAACGTATATTTTTCAAAGCTATGCTTAAATGCTTAAAATGCATTTTGAATTCTTTGTTGAAACGCCTGCTAAACAAGTAGTATTCAGACACAGGAGGGTCTCAGTGTATGTGGAACAACCACAGGCCTTTTGGAAAAGTGTCCGAGGTGGCTCCTCACGAAGCTGCTTGGAAGAACACCAAGAGTGTACAAAGTTGCATCAAGGCAAAGTGGTCTCTGCATAATGCTATATATGGTATTTCATAGTTTTGTGGTATTCACTATTATTGGAAAATGTTAAAATAGTACAAAATACTAATACTTGGTTTTGTACAGTTACAGCAACAAAAAGTGTCATTACAAAAAGTAATAAGCCACTACAAGCCACCAGAACAGCTTAAGTGTGACTTGGCATCTATGGATCTGCACTGATCTTCCAAGAGATATTCCATCAGTTGGTGTTCTGAAAATGGTGGTGGAGAGTGCTGTGTAACACATCAGTCCAAAATTTACCATAGGTGTTTAATTGGGTTATAACATATAATTTACATCACTTTCGTACTCATCAGACTATTCAATGGCTCCTTGTGTCCTGTGGATGAGGGTCCTGTCATCCTGGAAGATCCATCAAGATAATTTTAGATGTTTTATCATAGCATAACGGTGATCAGTCAGAATTATGCTGTATTGATCTGCAGTGACCCGTCCCTTCAAGGGGACAAGTGAACCCAAACCATGCTGTACTGGTGGCTCGCAGTGGTTCAGCACCTTACTAATAACTTGTAATGTTGTTTCCATACACTTTTGTTTCTGAGCATCTCTCAAGTCTAATTTTGTTTCTTTTTCTTCACCCAATAGGATCACGCTGCCCATGCAGACCTACTCCACCATAAGCTTTAGAGGTAAGAGGAAAAATACATTTGGCTTAAACTTGCATCTTTTCGCAGCACAGCAAAGTGTTACTCTGCTACACATCATCAAACACCACATGGGGGCACTGTGGTCCACATATACAGAGCGAGCTGACAAAATGACCCAGAAGGTGGAATGAGTGTGACTGGGTGACTCAAGGCCATAGACAGGGATTACAAATTAGCCATTAAAAATGAGGTTTCTAAAAGACTGAAGAGAAGCATTTAGGCTCTGTAGACCTCCGAAACTTCATAAATAGACCACTAAATCCAATAATCAGTACTTAGGACCAGGACCAACAGGGAATTCCAGCTTAAAACTGGAGATCAGTAGGCTATTTGTTGTGTATTCTGCAGTACACAACTGCAGACTGCAGTATTCTGTAGCATAGTGTTGTATCCCTCAGTCTCATCGGTGTTCTCACACTACATTACCCAGCATGCATTGCACTGATCAATCATACAACGTTTAGGAATCCCTGTGGTGTCACTGATCTGCAGGCTAATACATATAGGCTATAGGCTAATAAATAAGCATTAATGTAAGATTAGTGTAACTCAGTATTTGGGCAAAGTTGTAAATAAAACAAACAGCAATTCTGTCTTTATTCAACACAGATGGCAGAGTAATGTAGTAAGAAGTAAAAAAGCCATACTGTAAGTAAGGTATAGCCAGCTACCTTGCTAACGTGCTCTGACGAGTCATTTCTATCATCTGAGTAATATGTTCTCTCCGCTGTAATGATGATTTGAAGACAGTTGCTATAGTTATATGACAGGAATAAAACATTCAGCTTCCTAGCAGTAACGTTAGCCATCCGCCTTCCTTCTACACTCACAAGCTAACCATAAAAACCATTTCAAAATAGCCTACCCCTCAAAAATCTGCCCAAAGCAAGTGTAGTTTTTTTTTAAAAGTTCCTCTTTTAATATAAAAAAAGTTCCTCCTCCCTTCAAGATACATCATCAGAAGGACGTTCCTAGTCTTTTAACTAGAAAATCCCACTCTGGAGGCCACGGCGACACCGCTGTAGGATGTGTTTTCAACATATGGCTGCTGTCAGAAGAAAACCTTGTATCTCCATTTTTGTTGTTTTTCAGTTTTTGACATAATTTAAAAATGCCTGTTGCCCTTTAAATTGTATGTAACTTTACATTGTATGTAGATTTTATGATGAACTGACCAAAAGAAATGACCCAAAATGACTTGGAGGAAAAAAGTCTGGTTCCATTGACTTAGATTACAAGTAAAGTAGGTTTTTTCCTTCTCCTGTAAAGTTACCATTTTGGAGATACGAGGTTTTCTTCCGACAACAGTGATACTTAGCAGCGGTTCCATTTTTCTTTGGCCAGAGTTTCCCTTATAAGTGCTTTAATGGATTCTTGCATGTGCAATATTTGTACATCAGTTTCAGGAAATGAATTATGAGTTGCACAAGTGTGCTTTGGACTGTTCTAAAGATTGGATGTAAACAAAAAGTGGTTTTACAGCTGGGGTATAATAAAAATTCAACAGAGGCAATTAGTGGTTGATTACGTCAGTTATGAAAAAGTGAACATAGAACTTTAGTCCTCTGTAATATCCATGATTCACACAGTCATTCTCACAGATAACAACAGGATGTGGCTGATATTGTTTCATTGCATCATTGAAGAAGAAAATTCTTGGTGCACCGATGGAACTTTGACTGTATTAGAATCAAACAACAGTTAAAGTAAAAATATATGAAATGGTCTGACATGGTTGATATCAAAGGTCAATATGAAATGGTCCACTGCAGAAAGGTTGTGATATTTACAATGCAAATATAGCCATTTGAATTGCTATCCAATATGACCAATATATATTTCATGTTCATAATGGTAAAATAGTGGTAAATCTGACACCCTGTATGTATTCCTACACCCTCGTGTTATTTAAAAAATACGTTTTAGACCATGTGTTCATCTCAACAGTACTGTAAAACAATGTCTCAGGCATCAGGCAGTGTGTTCGTAACCATTTCAAGTAACAGCTTTCTGTGAGGGAGCTTTCAGAGGCATTAATCCCTTTGGACGTCTGGTTCCTATCACCACCACTGTGAACAATTCTACAGAAATTTGAAATTTTTTACAAAAAATCGGTGAAATTCTCGTTTAACCCCATGTTTGTCACACAGAGACCAGCCCAGAGCACCAACAAAGAGCCTCTGAAATGCACTCAAAGAAAACAGTCCTCATCAAGACCATCGAGACCCGTGACGGAGAGGTAACACACACACACACACACACACACACACACACTCACTCAAAACAATCTCAACTTCTGACACACTACAAGTAAACAAACTGTCAGCATAGGCCTCGTTTGTCATTCAACCTGTGCAGACTTGTCAGGAAAGCTGTGATTATTCCTCCCATACACCTCTGACTGCTGGAACTGGTCCACTGCAGCCTCACTCGCTATACGAGAGTGAGAGAAGTGAATAAGAGGAGATTAAGAACATAATTGGAAACAACCTGGTCTGGTCATGCAGCAGTTTGAATGGCTCCCTGCAGATCAGCATATGAGCTACCCATAAACCGTTTAGTGGCATGGGCGGTTTTAGGGTTTTTACAAAAAAAAAGCCCTTTTTACCTTGTTAATTCGTGTCCTTGGTTACATGAATTATCATACAGCGCCATTTAAAAGACAAAGTTCTTGTTTTTCAGTAATATTTGACTTGGCTATCGACTAAGGCCCAACTGATTTCTACTACCAACACTGACACCAACTTTATGGAGCTAAAAAATCGAATAACTGATAATATTAGCCGCCATTCCCTGCCACGAAAACGTCTTCTGGTTTTTGATTATGTTACTTTGTACCAGGAAGTGGGGAAATATCATGGCTGTGTTTGAAATTCTATGTACTGTATACTGCATGTTACTCATAGTACTCATAGAAGTTTAGAGTATGATTACTATCAATTTGAATAATACCTACGTGATATTTACACTGAGAAAGGCAGCCAATTTAAGTCTTTAGGTTAAATAGACACAATTTAATCATCTGTTTTTACCTCAGCCAAGCCACACTGTATTTCACCTCACACCTTTTCGCTGGAACACAGCAAGTTCCTGAAGTGTTAGTTAGCCGATACCAACTGTGATAAGTTCACTAAAGTGATAAATTCACTAAATGAAGTTGAGCTTGATGTTTATCGACACTTGTCTCAGACACTTCCTATGTGCTTATGTTGTGCTCTGTACCGTCTGCTTTACGGTGCCGGACACTCTCTGCCGGCATAGCAGGGCACTTCTTGTCCCATGTGTGGCAGCCTTTAGCCGGCTACAGTAGTCTTTCTGTGCTTACTTTTTGGCACTAAACAGGGCTGGGTTTCCTGAAAGCATCTTAACACAATGCTGATTCTTAAATGGTAGAGTGAGTACCACAATGAACACTCTCTCTACCAGTTAAGATGGTCTTTACACCAAGATGCTTTGGGAACCTGGGACTAGATAAGAAACTCTGACAAATACATAAGACACTGGCTTTTTACTTCCCTCTGGTGGAACAGAGTTCAGATATAACTCATAGTTAGATAAAACCCACAGGTATTATGAGAATGTATAAGATGAGGGACCAGCTAATTTGCACATTGAGAATCCTAATTTACTTGTGTTAGTTTAGTTTTCGAATATTCTAAAGTTCTGACTCATCCCTAAGTACTAATGTGTACTTACTATCATATACCATGTACTGTATTAAAGGGTCATATGACCACAGAATTATGGGATGCTGTATATGCTGTAGCTCTGGAATGTCTGGTCAAAGTAGTAGGTTATCTGGGTATATTTGGCGTACTGGAGAATTCCATGTTGGCCATATACTGCATACTATTTACTACTTTTGAGCACAGTAAGTACACTAGCAGTGGTTATATGTAGGCTATTAGCTCAGAAACCCTCCCTGATCTATTTAATTCAAAAATAAGTCATGGTACAGAAGAAAAATGCATTGATTCTGTTAACTTTCCTCTATATGTGAATGCTGCTCTGTTCCGCCCCCTACAGGTGGTGAGTGAATCCACACAGCACCAGCAGGACATCATGTAGACCTCCAACAAGGAAGTTAAACCACAGCAACAAACCATTAGGAGTTTCAATAAAACCATTAGGCTAAGCCTTCACAGCCTGTGCTTTTTTCCATTATTACAAACACAGCTTATCAGTGAGGTGAGCGCACTGCTTCACAGAGAGGAAACAAAGATAGAGTTCATGCTTTTTTTTTTTTAATGAACTAAATTCTTAAGGGACCCATGTGGAATATCCCTCTAGTCTTGTCAGAGCGAGGGATCAGGGAAAAAGGGATGGACGCAGGTCAAAAGACAGGGTGGGTAACGTAGGTAATTAAAGGGGGGAAAGGAAGACAGGGAGAGAGAAGGATGGAGGGGGAAAAAGGAGAGAATGAACTCAGACATGATGTGTGTGAGGAGGACACTGCCATGAAGAAATCAGAATAAACCAAAGACGCATCAAGCACCCTAGCCTGGTGGTCCACCTGTTTCATTTGTGTCAGTTTTTGTACATTTTTGTGTGATTTGCAAGGAGACCAGAAATACTGGCACCCCTGGTAATGGTGAGCAGAATGAGCTGTAGAAAAATATTCTTAATTAAAAACAAACCTTTATTTAAGGTATAATAACTAAGAGAGAAAACTAAATCTTACCATGAACAAAAACATTTTTCAGAAATGTATGTGTGCCACAATTATTGGCACCCCTAGAAATTCTTAAGAGTGAAGTCTAACTGAAGTATATTCCCATTCATATTTTATGTTAAGTTCAACTGAGTGATTAGGAACACTTAAATGGTCAGCCATGACTTCCTGATTCACTAGGGAATATATATGAGATGAAACACAGGCCAAATCCCCCCAGTCATCCACTGTTATGACAAAGACCAGAGAACATAGCAGTGATATACCACAAAAGGGTGCAGAGCTGCACAAATCAGATAATGAGTAAAATAGCTAAACAGTTGAAAATGTATATATATATATATATATATATATATATATATATATATATATACACATTTGCTGTTTATATTTTCTGCTGTTGGAAGAAAACCTCGTATCTCCAAAATGGTAACTTTATAGGAGAAGGAAAAAACCTACTTAATGAAATTTACATACAATGTAAAGGACAACACTCATTTTCCAATTAACTGAAAAACGACAAAAATGGAGATACAAGGTTTTCTTCCGACAACAGCGAGATTATATATATAAATGAGATGAGATGATATGACAGACGCCAGATTAACGGAAGAGCCTGAACACCTGAATAAATAAGTGAACAGAAGTGTGGATATTTTCAGACAGGTGCACTGCATAATAAAACTTATTATTAATATCCTGCCATCCTCTGCGTCACTTAGTAAAATGATAAGTAGGCCAGTTGATCCCGATTATGGATCAAGGTGGCAAGAGGAAAATATCTAAGTGACTCTAAAGAGTGGCCTGGATTACCAGTGCTGAATAGAAACAGTAAGTAAAGTGACATCTGCATTTAGATCTGTGGGAAAGACATCAGTAAATAGGGCTGGAAATTGTGGCCATGAGGTTTGTACAATATGATGAGTAAGAAACTGTTCCTCAACCGCGGATGTCAGTGCAGGACATGATCAGCAAGAACGGTCCGTCCACAATTACATAGAGAGGGACGTTACAGAGGAGTTGCAGTGCATTAACTGCTTATTACAAAGACTGTTGCAGATTTGAGAGTTCAGTGATGCAACAGGCACTGTTCTACAGAGATGTGGAGAAAAAGTGATGTGGTCAGATGAATCATCCTTCACCTAATTCTACACGTGTGGCGTTTACCATGAGAATGGTACAGCTCTGCTTGACCCCTACAGTGAGGGGGTCAGGAGACTTTTAGGCCCAATCCCATTTCACCCCTTGCCCCTACCACTTAGCCCTTAGCCCTCAGTTTTGTGTGTTCACGTCTAGGTTTAGGGTGTCCCGATTTTTGTTGAGACAGAGGGGTAGGGTGAAGTTTTAGGGCTACATGGCCCTCCAAACGGAGGTTTTTCAGAGGCACAATCCAAACAGAGTGTGATAAACCAGCAAGATGGCTGCACAAATGACCGAAGAAATCCACAAATGTGAGAATTTTCCCCATTGAAAAAATTACACTAACCATTGTTTTATCTTAGTTTAATGTCAATTTAATTCATTACATTCTAATGTGTTACATTCTGGCACTTAAGACGTCAGAACTGCTGCTCCATTTAAGGTGGAACAGGAAAATTCAAACAAGAAGCTGGTGAATATCCGACTTCAGCTTCATATCACTGAAGAATTAGGGGTGGTGATAATAAATAATTGCCCCCCTCTTTGAAAGGATATGATTCCCTAAATGTAACTAAAGCCCAGCAGTGAGGAGCTGAACTTTACCCTCCTCTGCTGTCACTGCAGACTGGCAGGGTCGCCTACAGAGCAGCGCTGGTAGCTGTTAATGAAGTGATGCTCTTTTTATTTGAGGGTCCCATTTCATAGGGAAGATTTCAACCACTACCCTGTAACTCAGTTTAAAGGGACAAAGTGACACTTGAAAATAAGGGGTAGGGGCAAAAATAAGAAACGGGATTGGGCCTTAAAGTCTATGCCAAGGCACACTGAAGCTGTTCTGATAGCTCACAGAGGTCCAACAGCTTACTAAGACACCCGTTTACACAGCCTGTTCTCCCTGTGTCTGCGTGGGTTTTCTCCGGGTACTCCGGTTTCCTCCCACAGTCCAAAACATGCAGTCAGGCTGATTGGACTTGCTAAAATTGCCCCTAGGTGTGTGTGTGTGACTGTGTATGTCTGTCTGCCCTTGCGATGGACTGGCGACCTGTTCAGGGTGTATCCTGCCTTCCGCCCAATGAGAGCTGGGATAGGCTCCAGCATCCCACTGCGACCAAGAAGGATAAGCAGTTTAGCTGATGTATGTATGTATGTACAGGGAACAAACTTAAATATGACAATTTTTGGCCAATTTTAGTTCACAATGTATATTTATTTGCTGAGTTTCACCAAAAAGTGCCAACTTTTAACTTTTGCACAGGCCACATTTTATGTTTTTTCCATATATGTGCAGACGCGTGCTCTCTGTGACAGATGCGTTAACTTATTTTCACTTAGAAAACCAAACAACACATCATTTAACCGGGTGCGACCAAACGTTTGTATTAAAGAAGAGTGTGTGAGATTGTGGATCTTCAGTGTGAATGTGAAGACAATGAAAGCAGAAAAAACATCACAAACCACGTTTTGGAATCACATTGTTTATCATAATATCCAGGCCCATACAAACACATGCTTTGTAATAATAAGAAGAAGAATAATGGTAGATTGTCATAGGTTTTATGGCCTGATGAGAACTGTTCCTCCAGTTCTTTGTGACCAAACTCTGCTGTCAGACAGGACATGGTAAATAAAGCATTTCTCAGCAAATAAATAAACAACCAAACAAATAAATAAACATATCCATCCACTCGCCCAGCGGGGCTCAGGCTCCTATAAATTAAAAAATATCTATAATTAAAAAATAGTCCACAATATAATCAACTCAAATCAAATAAATAGGAAAGGCAATGTGGAGATGGCTATACTAAATGTGCATATGCTATGTACAAACAAGCGTAACAGCTTTGCTGAGACGTATTGCGGAATTAAAGGAATACTTCAGTGATTTGCAGCCTCTGTCTGTTGCATCTATAGCGTATGGATGATTATTATGAGCAATAGTTCTGACGTGGTTACCTGTACTCACAAAGAACCAAACTTAAAACAGCTTAACAGAAGACGATGGGCAGTTGCTTCAGTCAGCGGGTTTTTTTTTGGCTCCTTTATTAAAGTACAGGGTCAAAATAATTGCAATAATCAGTCGTGTTTTAATAGATGCAGCAGACAGTAATAATCGCTGGAATATTCCTTAGAAAAAAATAAAAATGAAAATAAAAAACGGATATACAGATGAACTTTTTGTGTTTATCAAAGAGACTTGAAATGTGGGAAGGACAGCGTCGCGTCGATCTATTTCTGGCCCAGTGGACGAGGATTTCTTTCTGCGTGAAGTTCAATCATGACCCTCTGGAGCCTGTTTTCCCAGCCCGCTCTTAAGACCTACAAGGCGTCACCAAAGACGTTAGATGGCACTGCAAAACGATTTCAAAAACACAGCAATGAGTGAACTATCGTGGAGGATTTGTCGATAACAGAGAAAAAAATCCTGCGTTTTCAGTCTTCACTTTCTTTTTTCCCCCAAAATCCTCCAGCTGGTCCTAGGATCATATTGCCAGGTCCATTTTTTTTGACAGTTCATGCTGTTCCGGCTGTCCCTGAGTAGCTCTTCTTGTTCTTCTGTTTTTATTCCTTTGCCTCTAATCCTCCTATCACCACCAGCCATCGCAAGTCCCAGAGAGGACCAGTTGGTCTGCAGTAATATGGCTCTTTCCCCTGCAGCCTCTTTGAAACAAGGCCAAGGAGCAGATTCTCCTGAGACAACCTCCCGCTGGAGCCTCCCCCCAAGGCAAACCCCTCCCCTACCATACACAGCTATTTGGTACAGTCCAGGGCAAGAATGTGGGATATAATCACGGTACAGACACCGACTGGTAGGATCCACAGATTTACAAAGAGAAATGGGAGGGCAAAGGGCAGCTTTAATGTTACAAAGACAAAAAGTTTCAGCACCAGGAGATGACTTCCTCACGAGAAAAAGAAAAACGCAATAATGCAGGACGGACATCGAACATTTATGGATTCTTATCACACTGTTTTGCCACGTTGACGTCATGTATAAAACGATGTGATGTAACCGGGCCCAGATTTATTTCTTTTATAGTCGCTCGCTTCATTGCACTAAGAATATTTTTGGGGGACAAGGTGCCACAGCTCAGGCACACACACAGCATTAGAGTGTAGGTGTGTGTGCACGTATGTGCCGCTAGGGTGTTTCTGTGCCTGCGTGTCTTGAGTACACCCACGGTCCTTAAGTAACATGCTCAGACCTGCAGTGTGCCACTCACTCTATACAGTTCTCCAAACCACACACTGACTGAGAAGAAGAAGGAGGCAGTTGGTGTAGGGCTGTGTAGAATCTGAAGTCAGGAACAGCACCACGACAGAGAGATGAGTGTGTCAACATGTGTGAGAGTGTGAGGGTGTTTCTCTGTGTGTGTGTGTGTGTGTGTGAGTGTGTGTGTGTGTGTGTGTGTGTGTGTGTGTACACGTCACACTCGGAGGTTGGGTCCAGCTCCAGCTGTGAGCGGTACAGTAGAGCCGCAGTCATAGTCCATGTCCACAGCAGTGTGCGCCCCAGACAGTCTGGCTCCGGGGTACCTGCCGTCCACCTGCCGGTCACGGAAACTCTGGATGTAGCTCTGAAACAAACAGAGCAGAAACCTGAAGTAACAGTGAAATGAGAGCTGCTAATTAGGTATGAGAAAGTGAGAGAGGGAGGGAGGGAGAGAGAGGGAGGGAGGGAGGGAGGGGTTGGTGAAAACCTCTCAACTGGATTAAATAAAGCTTACTGTCGACATGTGAGAAACAGAGAAAGACAGACAGATAGAGACAGTGCTACAGAGAGTGAAATTAAGAGAAAGTGCGTGAGAGAGAAAGAGTGAGAGCGAGAGCACAATACAGAAAAAAGAGAAAGACTAAGGGAAAGCTAGAAAGATAATGAGTGAGAGACAGAGAAAAAACAAGTAGGGAAAGCTAAAGAGAGGCTGAGAGAGAGACAGAGAAGAAGAATGAGAGAGAAGTAGGGAGAGTGAGAGAAAGTTAAAGAGAGTTAGAGAGAGAGCCTGTGCAGAAATAAGTAGATAGAGATTTACAGAGAAAGAGCTAAAGAGCAAGTGTGTGTGTGAGAGAGAGAGAGAGAGATGGGGACAGGGAGAGAGTTAGAATAAGAGTTAAAGAGAGAGAGAGAGATAGAAAGAGAGGGAGAGGGAGAGAGAGAGAAGGAGAGTTAGAATAAGAGTTAGAGAGAGAAAGAGAAAGAGACAGAGAGAGAGAGAAAATAGAGAGAGAGACAAGTAGGGAGAGAGTTAGAATAAGAGTTAGAAAGAGAGAAAGAGAGAGAGACAGAGATAGAGATGGAGAGGCAGAGAGGGGAAGGGAGAGAGAAAGAAAGAGAGAGAGAGATAGAAAAGGAGAGGGAGAGAGGGGAAGGGAGAGAGAGAAAGAGAGAAATAGAGATAGAGAGAGAGATAGAGATAGAGAGAGAGAGAAGTACGGAGAGAGAATAAGAGTTAGAAAGAGAGAAAGAGAGATAGAGAAGAGAGGAGAGAGAGAGAGATAGAGAGAGAGATAGAGAAGAGAGGAGAGAGAGAGAGATAGAGAGAGAGAGATAGAGATAGAGAGGGACAGGGAGAGAAAAAGAGAAAGAGAGAGAGAGATGGAGAGAGAGAGAGAGAGAGATATGAGGTGACTGGTGTGATTCCTCATGTCTTTGTGTGCGTAGTCCTCACCGGGGAGAGGACGTCTCCGTCGTATCGGCGGACGGGGTTGGGTTTTCTGCGGTAGGCCGGCTCCGGGTGCATGGCTTTGGCTGCGTGTGTGTGGTGCGAGTGCTGTGACTGCTGCTTCCTTCGCTTCTTCCTGCTGCTCTCTCTCCTCTCCTCCTTCTGCCGGATCCGCATCAGCTGCACCCGCCGCTGCTGCCGGCTGATCATCACTGAGACACAGAAACACGAGCACAGAGAGAGACCACAGAGTTAGACAGTGAGCGAGCAAGCGTGCGTGAGAGAGATTTATCTAAATATTCTCATATATATAAATATATCTCACATACATCTAATATATAAATACTCATTTAAAGCACACCAGTGAGTTGATCTGAAGGTGATGATTCAACTGCATTAAGAATAAAATATTAGAATCATGTGTAGCTGATTATAATAACATTTAAAGCACCTTTGGGCTAAAATACAATTCTTGGCGTATTGTCATTATTGTCTACATTCCAAATGGCTGCAAATGGCTGCTCCTTATGGTTCTACACAGAACCATAGTCTTTACTAAAGAACTCTTGAAGAACAACCTTTATTAAGTGTGCACATTAGCAAAAACACTGTTTAAGTTTAACAGGGGAAACTGAACTGAATAAGAGTTTGTGAACTGCCTGTAGGTGAGTTAAACCAGTCAGAGGCAACCAAACCTCCATGTGTTGTGACATCACAACCACAACTTACTGGCAGTTTGACACACTATGTTCAGGGCTCGAGCCTCAAGCCAAAAAAAGGTGGATGTTCTGGTCTTCATGGCCAAAAAAGAATCAGGCCTGAACCTCAATTGTAAATCTAAAATTGCAGTCACAATATTAGTCGGAAAAATCACAATTAAATATTTTCCACAAATCGCTCAGCCCTATCTACCAGTTTTGGAAACTCTGGTTTTTGTTCACTTATTTTTCTTTAACATTATCATTATGCAAGTAGACATCATTAGGCATATTAATCATGTACCTAATTTGCTCAGAAATATCTCCTGAAAAATGTATTTATTATAAATTTAGTGCTTAATGGCCATTTTAATTGGAAAGGAAATGGATGAGTGGCTCTGACTTTTGAACAGTACTGTGAATAATTTCTACAGTAATTAGTGTAGTCAGTGAATTTTTAAAAAGAATTCTGAAACATCAAAATACTGAAACCAAATCACTGTGAGGTCAGAGATTTTCAATATTTATTTTATTTATATAAAATTGAGATTTTATGTTTATTATACAGCATTTTAGCATACACAACATTAGCAACACTGATATTCAAATACCAAACGTTAATGAAAATGTTTACTATAATACGAGATGTTTTATGTAACTGCTCTGTGTTCTGGTTTTGTGAATTAAAGTAAAGCACATTCACAGTATATACACACACACAGAGCTTCTGAATGCCTTAATAACCACACAGTCAGAGCCGGTCTGTTCTGCTCCATGACCTGCTGCGTCTCTCCATGACTGTCCCTGCAAACACTCCTTGCAGCACACCGACAGACAGAGCCATCTGCTACGCTCAACACAAACACACACGGCCACAGACACCCATGCACATAAGCACCTGCACTGTCTTTCTCTCTTATATACGCCGATCAGGCATAACATTCTGACCACCTCCTTGTTTCTACGCTCACTGTCCATTTTATCAGCTCCACATACTGTATAGGTGCACTTTGTAGTTCTACAGTTACAGACTGTAGTCCATCTGTTTCTCTGCATACTTTGTTAGCCCCCTTTCACCCTGTTCTTCAGTGGTCAGGACCCCCATAGACCCTCACAGAGCAGGTACTATTTGGGTGGTGGATCATTCTCAGAACTGCAGTAACACTGACGTGGTGGTGGTGTGTTAGTGTGTGTTGCGCTGGTCTGAGTGGATCAGACACAGCAGTGCTACTGGGGTTTTGGGGTTTTTCTATCCCCTGTGTACCTGCATCTCATTTATTTGTCTACCTCAGACTAACTGCACATACCGAAATGTGCACAACTGTACGTATCATAGTTTTATTTCATAACTTATTACTGTACAACTGAGTGCAATACTAGTGTATATTAATGTGTATATTGTGTATTTGTGTATATATTTAGAGTCTAATGTGTATGTATATATATATATGTCTTTTTATATCTCATATATTAGGGCGACACACCTAAGATTTTCACTCACCTTCGCATCTGTGTAATGTGATGTGACAGTAAACATGATTTGATTTGACTTGATTATCAGTATTAAAAAAAGTTTGCTAACTGATTTCAATAGTTCTTTTTATTGATTTATCATCCAGGCCTACTCCTGCACCTCTCAGCCACTGAAATGCTTAAAGCAACTGTGGTAAAGTTAGAAAGGTCATGTCATAATTGAGCACAATTCCATGTGACGTGCATGCCTAGGGGTAAAATCCATCACTAAAACGGAAACCACACGGCCCTGCAACTGAACTAGATGTTTCTACTGCATGTAAGATTTGTTTGACAAAATTAGAAGTAGTAATATTACCACGTTGTTAAAACGTTAAAATATAGTGTGCGAGTCACTCTGTAAAGCCTGAAACTGTCTGTTTTGGGGGGTCTGAAGTACAACCCATATTACTAAATGTTGTTCCGCATATTGTATATTCCCACATTTCCACCAGAGCGGTCTCCAAAATCCTCAAAACGTACATAGTGTAGCTTTACCAGAGCTGGTTTATGAGGAGCCTGGCCACTTCCTACTTCCCCCGTTATATCAAAAACAGCACTGCTAAACAGTAGAGGGCACCCATGAGCGAGTCCTCAATGAATGGGAGTAAATGTAGCTCAACGGCTAAAACGAAAAGGTAAATAGTTTCTAATTACTCGCCCAGAACGTTTCTTTAATTTGAGAAAGTAGAAGGATGTATTTCACTAAAAAGCAAAGAAAACTCAACTCTCCTTTTTTTATACAGCAAACGGGTTCTGGGCATTACTTCTAGTGAGTGCTGATTGGTTGGTGAGCAGAGCAGCTCATTGGCTATTTGCGCTCACAGACATCATTGACGTACATGAGGCACTGTTTTATACTTCTATAACCTGAGTTTAAAAGCTTTTAAAAATATAACAGCAGTGTTAAAATGTTTTATGCTGCTCTGTGTTCAGGAAATGATTGTATCCTTTTACATTAAAATGTTTAAGCATTTATAAACTATGATTTTGCTCAAATGCTCCGTCTCAACCCATTCATTTTGGACTCGCTCGGGAGCGCCCTCTAGCGTTTGAGAAACCCGGAAGACACTGCAGAGCGGTAAATCTCCTCTCTACAAGTTCTCTGGCTTTTCTGACATTTCTTTCTAATCACCATTCACTCTCAAACAAACCGACCTGTCTCTCTCTCTCACCTTTAGTGTGGGAGTAGCCCTCGGCGGTCACCCTCCACTGCACTAGCACCCCCAGCAGGGCGAGAGCGGGCCAGGCCCCCAGCATCACCCAGGTGACCCAGCACTGCGGCTGCGCTGGCGCCGCCTTCACCCGCTCGTACACGTAGCGCACCAGGGCGAACAGCTCCACGAAATAGTCGGCGGCCACGGTGATGACGGCTGCCCCGAAGACGGCCGTAGAGAGGGTGGTGAAGCAGCGCTGCCACTGCAGGGTGAGCACGGCGAAGAGCATGCCCAGACCCAGCAGCACGCCCAGCGGCACCCACACGGAGCGCGGCGGCTGAGACGACAGCTCCTCCATGCCCACCAGCGTGCCGATGCCCACCAGCAGGCCCAGCAGCAGACCCACCATGAAGAGGCCCACGCTCCGCACTAGCATGGTGACCAGGCCGCACAGCGTGCCGATGCCCAGGCCGATGCCCACGCTGGCCTCCACGCTCAGCTGTGTGTCCAGCACCCGCTCCTTGTAGCACAGCAGGAAGATGATGACTGAGCCGAACATCAGGCCGGTCAGGAAAAGCACGGCCTTGAAACAGCGGTAACCTGGGGGCAGAGAGAGAGAGAGAGAGAGAGAGAGAGAGAGAGAGAGAGAGAGAGAGAGAGAGAGAGAGAGAGAGAGAGACTCAGTTTAGGGATGCAACTATTAGTCACCGGTAGGGCGATATGGGCCAAAATATCATCACGATAAAAAAATTCATATCAGTCGATATCATCGATACATATCACGATAAATGTCAAATCATTAATTGTTCATGTTTGAGGGCTGATTTTTGCTCCTGATTGGTTAACCGTTGTTTTAAACTACCCTTTATGGTCAGAACATGACAAACACTCACCAAACAGTGGAACATTTCACAAATCTGTCTTGGGAGAGTGGGAGAAAGTGTCTGGTGAGCTGTTTTTACCAGCTGGAAAAGCACAGCCGCAATATCTGTAATATTCATAATTTAAGAAAGAAAACGAAGATTATTTTTAGCTGTCTGGTGACGAGTACTAGGCTATCTGGTTACAAGTACTAAACTGTTTAGTTTCTCAACAACATCAGCTTAGTATGAACAGCAAACATTAACTGGCTCGGTACGTCAGGGATGAATCACACCGCCTTACTTCCATCACTCCTACCACATCCATGTCAGAGCATATCACAGTATTCAGGCACCAGCTAGCAGACGACTGGGTTTCTCTGTAGTAGTTTGAGGGGTGAACCGCAATATATCCGACGCTCACTGTGCAAAAGCATTAACTGCAGTGTGAATCTCTCACACTGGACAAACAGAGTCTTCCTTTTAGGTATGTTTGAACTGAAATTGGTGCTTTTTTGCTTTGTTTGATCTACAGTAACACCAATTCGGAGCCCTGCTTCAAGTTAGCCAGCTGCTAGAAACAGCTAGCCTGGGAAGTTAGCATTCTCCCACTCTCCAATGCTCCACACACAGAATCCTCGGTTTACTTTCATTTAAATCACTTCTTTCTTTCACTTTTGGGAATAATGGCTTGGGAATGCACTTATACTAAAATATGACTGTCTGGCACTGTAATACAGTGCTGTAGTTGTGTGGAGCAGACATGATTTAATGCCGGTAAAGCTTGTTAAGATGTTAGGAAAGAGGCGAGTTCACTTTAGGACAGTATAGTCACGCCACGCATCTTGTCACTCACACTTGGTCACAGGAGATCACCAATCGCTCCACTCAAACAGGGGGGCTATAACTCCACATTTAAGACGTTGCTAAAGTGCATTTGGCGACTCACATTACTCCTTGATAATTGCTGGAGTGAAGGGTGATGCATCGCAAAATTTATACCACGATAATCCTTACTATCAGGAAAATAACACCATAAAATATATATGATACGCCCAACAGAGAACCAGAAGCTTAATATATTGATGTTCTGATATGTTAACATCTACATAGCGGAACAATAAGTTACTTTTATATCAGCATGTTTCTCACCCCAGTTGCCACCCTATTACATTTATTAGCCCATTAAGTCACCTATTATCTCATTAAACTGCACTTAGCCTCCCATCTGCCAAGTACACGTAGATTCAGTTCATCTCTGACAAAAGAACCCAATGCATCCTCAACACATCATATATTCTTATAAGCCTCCAGGTCATTAAGCGGTTTGGAAAAAGCAAGCTCTCCTCTCAAGTGTGTACCCTGTAAGAATGGGAATGAGACAGACAGGAAAAAAGTAAAGGTGTGATGCAGAAAATAAGACAAATGTGTGAAAAACAGGAGTCATGCAAAACGGGAAACTCGCAAGAGGAGGGGAGTTTGGTGGTAACGCTGGAAAATCTGCCAGCAGAGCCAATTTCACAGCTCCAAAATGGCTCACTAGTGTGATGGTGTGATTCTTTGGCTCTCATTATCATGTTTACACTTTCATCAACGACTAATTTACAGGCAGAGAACATCTGAGTGAGACAGGTTCCACCACTAAGCTTCATCTGTATAGAAACAAAAGCATCCTACATTTCGTCAAACAGAGGCTGATACTGGAAAACACTGTGATGCAGCCTCATAGAGGACACAGGTCTTTCTTGAGGCACACAGGTGGGTTTATTTTAAAGAGGTGTTGACTGATGGGCTGCCGCTAAAATATCATGGTCATCTGGTCTCTGTAGGATGTATACAGCTGGTTAGCTGAGTCCGCACTGAGGCTTTAGCAAAGCACGGGTCATGAGGGATGGTTATACAATTGTCGACCTGGTTTGCAGCCTCATCAATATTGAAAAGAGTGAGGCCGCATTCTGGCTGAAAGGGGAGGAACGTACACAGAGTTACGAAAATTACAACAGCTGCTAAACGGAAATAGTGATACAGTATCAACAGTATAGTTTCCTAAAGACGAGAGTTATTTGCTTAATAAACACAGCACAATAAACAGTCTTTGCAATACTGATACTGTAGAATCTGCAACATGCAAATGAGCCTCTAACCAATTACACTGTTTTTAGAAGTGAGCTGTGAGCATCTCGACCAATCACAACTGCAGACGAGGACTTCTGTGGGTTTTCTGATAAAACAAAGTAGTAACTTAATCTAATAAAGGAAAATATTTTTATTAAAATAATGTATCCCCAGGTTACATCTTTGAATGACTGCATTTCGTCACTGTCCAAAGAAAAACAAAACTACTTTTTTCAGGAGAGATGAAAAAACACTCTTTACTTTTAATGTAAGTGTGAAGAGATTTTATAACAAGTCATTTTGAAGCATTTCTATTGGTACATCCTCATCACTCGAGGTAAAGGACATCCATATTTAAATGATGCAGAACTGACAAAAATTGAGATGCATGTTTTTCTTTGGACAGCGATGATTTGTGTAGCCCTACTGAATATTCGCTGATTTATCACAGAATCAAGGACGGCCAATATATCTACACACTTTTTTGTTCCCTGAAGTTCATTTTTTTTTTTCCTTTCAGTTTTACTATGGTCATGCACAGCGTTGGCGTTTGCGGAAACTTTAAATGCAGTCACTGCCGCACTGCAAAATGCTCTCTCTTTTCTTTTTCTCTCTGGCGCACTCTGTTTTGGTTTATAAGTGATCTATCTTCAATGAAAAACAAGTACTTCACCAACATTCCAGTCCAACTCACCCTTTTGGAAAAGGGAAACTGTCTAAACGTGGCTATTATCCGAGAGCAACTGGAAAGTTAAGCTCGCTCTTGCCCTGAATCTAGTTATGTGAAAAGATCCCCTGAGTTGTTGCCTTGTAAGAGCGTCAGATTTAGTACAGCTTCAAATAACAAACCTTTCGTTACAGAAAAACCTTCAGTATGAAGTACAGAATAATGCGCATGATGCGGTAAATGCAGTGTTTGAAAGAAAGAGAAGCAATAGCCAATTTAGCTTTAGTTGTCAGCTAATCTAGCTGAAGTTTTTGGTATTTAACAGATCACATTTTTTAAAAAAACTCACCAAAACTTCAGCTAGACTGGCTAGCTAGTAAGCATTCTTACAAACTACATACTAACCAACCATTTCAAGTCGCTTTGCCCCTTCATTTTGATGTTTACTGCATTCTGAGTTTTAGTTCTGTCCTTCAGACTGATGGCTTGTTATTTAAAGACCTACCAAACATCTGCTAAAATTCTTTACTAACTTGACACAGACTTGCATAAAGCGACTTGTGAACATTCTGGTGCACACTTAAAATACAGGGTGATTCAAAAAGATTCATCTGATTTCAAAGCGCCATATTTTTACAACCGTGAGGCGCCTAGGAACCAATCATAATCCAATTGAAAGAGGAGGTCATAGATTTTCTGACTGCCACCAGAAGATGGCTCCCTTCAAATGATTTACAAGTGAAACACATCATTTTGGTTGAATGGATGAATCTTTCTGAATCACCCTGTACATTAAAGTGAGTAAAACACACTCATTGCTACAAGTTGTACATAATACCCCTTTACGCCTTATGACAGTGGCACAAATACAGTGCAACGGGGTAAAATAGCAAACAAGACACTCCTTGAAATCAATTCCCAGAAACCAATTCTTCTGATCGAATCTCGACATTCGTATTTACTAAATGTACTTTAGTGTACTGCCACTGCACATTTCAATCAACATGGCTGTCTCACTTACCAAAGAAGCAGTAGATGATACCGAACAGACAGCACATGGAGCAGACCACCGATGGCACCACTTCATAGCGACGTCCCGCCCCGTCATCACAAGGATCCAATGGCTCTGGCCCCACTTCTCTTGGAGGAGGAGCCAGCTTGAAGGCTAGGGTCTGCAGCGTGGACGTCATGGTGACAGCAGTGTGATGGACAGAGAGAAATGCCAATGAAAGGAGGCAGGACGGGGCCTGGGTGGGGGAAGGAGAGGGGCTGGGAGATTAGGGGACGCCTCCTGTCCACATGGATCTACCTGGAAAAGCAACAGCAAAAGAAATTGTTAGCAGAGATATATGAATCCATACGTTTGAGCCAAAGCTTTCAAGATTGAACTGCATCAGATTCAATAATGTCTCAGTCCTCTCAACCTCTCCCTTCACCTCTTCTTAAAACCCATCCTGAAGCTTTCATGACAGCATTTCTGGGTCACATAACATTCCTAGAGTTGCACGACAGTGAAAAGCACACCTCACTATGAAAAACAAGTGCAATTCCTCTCCTCTCCTACCATCTTTCTCCCCACAACTCTCTCTTTGCTTGTTCAGACAGGATGCAATCTTTGGGCACGCCCTCATGTAGTCGTGAGAGCCACCCGAGTTTATTCCAGGCACTGTAGCTTCACATCACTGATCAGGGATCTGTTTTCTGCTTCCTACATCCTGGTAATACAAACTCAAACCACTGGATAAATGAGAGCTTGTGGTGAGTCAACTCAGAGGCATGAATTTTCACTGTTCACCATAAAGTTAAATCAGGACTGAAGGAGAGAACTGTGAAAGCAAAGGTTTCAAGGAGCTCTTAAAGTGAAATGTTCAAAGAGAACAGTGCCTAACACACACACACACACACACACACACACACACACACACACACACACACACGGTTTAATATTAGGCCAATATTGGTTGGACTATTCGGCTTTTACAACAATTTGTGTCTTTTTTCTGTAGTACCACATTGAGCTGAAAGATCAATCGTTTTTATATTGAAATCGCAATTTGTAGGAGTGCAATTTTCAAATCGCAAGAGCTGCAATTTTTATTATATTTTACAGTTTATTATCAATAACGTTTTATATGCAAACGTTGACTATGCAAGTTTTAAGTAGGGAAATTTTACCTAATAACATAAAGCTTGGAACTTCTGTGACATCACAACCACAAAAAACTGGTGGTGGGGGTGGGGAGTGGCTTAACTTGGCACATTTACATTGTTCTTATATTGTTCCTGTAAATCTAAACTGAATAAAGTAATTAGTGTCCAGTGTCACAAAATTGGGCTTTGCAATACTGATGTAACAAAAGATTTGAATATGCAAATGAGGTGTCACAAAACGCTCAATGGGCTGTTAGCATCCTGGCCAACTTCAAACGTTCCAGATGCAAAACGCAGCTTCTATCTTTAACTATGTCACATTATGGATTCACTTCTATGGTTTTAAACTGTCGCAAGCTACATCATAATTACCAGCGGGGTCTTTTAGTCCCCTCAAAGTTTAATTATCAAATTTTGGCTGGAAACAAAAGGTTTCAAATCTTGAAACGGAAAATTGAATATGTGCTGGTCTGTGTCAGATTAACCACTCACACTTAAGAACTTGCAGTGGAATCAAGCAGTCGCATTTTGATTTACGATGGGTAGGACGAATCTTGTGAGGAAAAAACGCTGCCGTCGGTTTCTCCACCCACACAAACACATACATACACACACACAGCCTATACTTACACAGCGCTGAAAGAATACTGACAGCCACCCAAGTAACTTTAGTCCAAATTTTTTATATTGTAAATTTTTTTATCATTTATATTTTTATTCCAAACCATTCATGATTTATACTTGAGACCCGTAAGAACCTCTCTAGGCCATCTGGAAGTCACAGGTATGTCACTGTGAAAGTGAGTAGAGGTCCAACCAGGTTTCAGTCAGCTGGCAGAAATGGAAAACAGTGGCAGCAGCTCTGCGTCAGGGCTCTTTACCAAGAGAGCTCTTTACAAGAATATTAAAATATTTTAATGTCTGTTACAAGCTCCAAATAAAACATATAGAACGTCTATTACAAGCTCTAAATTAATTTAAGCTTTCTATGTTTAACCTAGAATGGCCACCAGGGCACTAGCAGAAATTAGCATTGTCACAGAAGTATTCGTTTTTCGACATTTGTGGCCTAAAAAAAAAGGCCAATTCCTAATGGTCACATTTGGCATTGATGTACATTGCATGTGCAACACCAATACAGAATTTTGTCTATATTGTGCTGCCATAGTTGTTCATTTTTAGAGCAGTGGCTACCTAAACTGAGGTTTAATACACAAAGGAAATAGAAGACCTATAGAAGTACAAGTGCACAATGGTCTCTGACCTAACTTGAGAAAACTGTGGCTGGACTGTACACTGTACAATATATTGTTGGAAAAGCCAGCTAGACTGATATATATATATATATATATATATATATATATATATATATAATATATAATTTACATGTTCCTGTAAACCTAAACTGAATAAAATAATCACTGTCACAAAATTGGGAAAAGCAAAACAGTGGCTGCAGCTCTACAACAGGGCTCTTCATCGAGAGCCACAGAAAAACTGCTACATACAAGGTAAATTCTATGTTCCTGTCTGTTACAAGCTTCAAATAAGACATACAAAACATCTTTCACAAGCTTTAAATGTCCATGTTTAATCTAGAATGGCCACCAGGGTGCTCGCAGAACATAACAGACATCTGAGGCCTAAAATAAAGGCCAATTCCAGTCACATTTGAAATTGATATACACTATATGTGCAATACCAATACAGAATTTTGTCTATATTGTGCTGCCATACCTAAAGATCGTCAGTATCACTGGCTTCATGGTTCAGACACCTGGTAAACCAAGATCAAGAGAATGAGAGTCCAACATATGACCTAAAAGAGTCGTGAACATACGGCATGAAGAAATGAAGACGTAAATGCCAAAACCTACAGAATCCACCAGCAGTTTTTCATCCAGCGCATCAATGTCTTCATTGCGACTTATGAGAAAGTGAGATTTCTCCTCAGTGCTCATCCTGCAGCTCATCGGTCTGTTACTGTTAGCATGTCCTGCACTGACCCCGTGGAAAAGGCCTGCAATGGATTAGAAGTCAGCACAAGTTGTACATGGAAATATCCTCATCATCTCCCCTCCCCTCCACTCTTTCTCTCTCTCTCTCTCTCTCTGTCTGTCTTAGTGTCGTTCCACCTCCCTCTCAAAGCATGTCTGGTCATAATAATCTTTCCCCCTGGGGATTATCAAATCCCTGACCAGTCAAAGCAGAGCAGCGGACAGAATCGACGTCGAGCGCCGGGGTCTAAGCAGCACCGCTGCACTCATAGCACATTCTGCACAATACTCCGTCCCTCAAAAATAACAGCCTCCTACTTCCTGTCTGTCGCCATAACGACCGAGGAACGCTACCCTCGGCTGCTATGGACCAAGCCGCAAAGAGACCAATAGGAGAGCAGTCTGGCCCCCCATAGCAACAGCCTGGCAGCCAATCAGGAACCCTGCCAGCTCCCAGTGGTTTGTGTGTCTCTTTCTGAGGTACGCAGTGGCGGCGCCGACGAACTTGCTGGCTGAGAGATAAAGCACAAACCGTGATTCACCCACATGCTCCCTCCTACACAAACACCCAGTCACATTCATACATCCTCGCACAGAGAACAGATTGTCCATTCTACTCTGGCATCTGGTGGTCATTCCGTGCGGCATTTTGTGAGTTATGAGTGAAAGAGTCAAAATGCCACTTGAATAGACAGGAACGTACTTGTTTACCTATTAGAACGCAGACAGGCCCAGACAGACGCTGAAAGAAGGAGGGGGGTTGGCGATAGGGTCTATGAATAACAGCTCGGCAAAGCACTGTGGGATACATTCGCTCAAGCAAAGGACGGTGGGGTTTGTATGCTACGGCTCCTGGATGACTCCCAGCTGTGTTAATCTCCTGACCTGAGTGGGTGTCACAGCCAGTGGGGCAGAGAGCCAGAGGTAACCACGGCAACCTAATGTAACACAGCTTTTAGGCTGTTTGGCTGAGATACAGCACATTGTCTCATCCTCTCTCCATCCCTCTACTTTGGGACTTTTGCTCTTTTGTCCTCTTTCTGCTCTTCTTAACTCGCTCTTCACGGCCATTTCAGCTTTCCACTGGTCCTCTTCACTTATCTGCAGTGCTTTTAACCACCATCTGTTTTTTTTTCTACGATCATATTTATGGTTTTATCCATCTGTTTCCACTTTCTTAAGAAATTTGGTCTTATTTTTGCCTTTTTAAGGCTTTTAAGGTCTTGGTTCAGATGAACATGTTCATAAAGTCTTGGTATCCCAAGCCTCCCAGGTAACACTGTACCCAGATTACAGCCATTACTTGGACACAAACATAAACACAGAAACAAAGAAGCAGATGCACACGGATATTTTTTAGACCTTGTCAGGACACAAGAGTCATATATATGTCCTGTATGAAATATATAGGTATATGTGAGTACCTACAGTGGTGTGAAAAAGTGTTTGCCCCCTTCCTGATTTCTTATTCTTTTGCATGTTTGTTACACTTAAAATGTTTCAGATCACCAAACAAATTTAAATATTAGACAAAGATAACACAAGTAAACTCAAAATGCAGTTTATAAATGAAGGTCTTTATTATTAAGGGAAAAAGAAATCCAAACCTACAGGGCCCTGTGTGAAAAAGTGATTGCCCGCCCCGTTAAAACATAAATTAACTGTGGTTTATCACATCTTTGGAAAGCTGAGTTCAATTTCCCTAACCACACCCAGGCCTGATTACTGCCACACCTGTTCTCAATCAAGAGATAACTTAAATAGGACCTGCCTGACAAAGTGAAGTAGACCAAAAGATCCTCAAAAGCTAGACATCATGCTGTGATGCAAAGAAATTCAGGAACAAATGAGAAACAAAGTAATTGAGATCTATCAGTCTGGAAAAGGTTATAAAGCCATTTCTAAAGCTTTGGGGACTCCAGCGAACCACAGTGAGAGCCATTATCCAACAAATGGCGAAAACATGGAACAGTGGTGAACCTTCCCAGGAGTGGCCGGCCGACCAAAATTACCCCAAGAGCGCAGCGACAACTCATCCAAGAGGTCACAAAAGACCCCACAACAACATCCAAAGAACTGCAGGCCTCACTTGCCTCAGTTAAGGTCAGTGTTCATGACTCCACCATAAGAAAGAGACTGGGCAAAAATGGCCTGCATGGCAGAGTTCTGAGATGAGAACCGCTGAGCAAAAAGAACATAAAGGCTCGTCTCAGTTTTGCCAGAAAACATCTTGATGATCCCCAAGACTTTTGGGAGAATACTCTGTGGACTGACGAGACAAAAGTCGAACTTTTTGGAAGGTGTTTGTCCCGTTACATCTGGCATAGAAGTAACACAGCATTTCAGAAAAGGAACATCATACCAACAGTAAAATATGGTGGTGGTAGTGTGATGGTCTGGGGCTATTTTGCTGCTTCAGGACCTGGAAGACTTGCTGTGGTAAATGGACCATGAATTCTGCTGTCTACCAAAAGGAGAATGATGGAGAATGTCCGGCCATCTGTTCGTGACCTCAAGCTGAAGCAAACGCTTGATTGCAGTTGTTGCTGCTAAGGGTGGCCCAACCAGTTATTAGCTTTAGGGGGCAATCACTTTTTCACACAGGGCCCTGTAGGTTTGGATTTCTTTTTCCCTTAATAATAAAGATCTTCATTTATAAACTGCATTTTGAGTTTACTTGTGTTATCTTGTCTAATATTTAAATTTGTTTGGTGATCTGAAACAAACATGCAAAAGAATAAGAAATCAGGAAGGGGGCAAACACTTTTTCACACCACTGTATATGTAACAATATATCCCATTTTAACTACATAAACTTACTATATAGTATTAACAATATTGTTTAAAATTATCAATATTAACTACGGAATTCTTAATAAATGAATAATGCCACTAAGTTAACGCTGTTAACGCACTTTCCTAGTTTGACCTTTTATACCATCTGTAGTTGAAGCTCAGTTGCTCACACACTGTTGCTATGACTCTTCCTCATTCAAATACACATTTACATGGCAGCTTCCGTTAATGGCCTTCTTAATAAAAGTTATTTCCATCTACTGTCATGCTGGATTCATCACTGGAAGTAGGCAAGTGCCAAGCGCAAAGTATTATTTAAAGCGTTATATAACCATTTTACCTTAACATAACAGCTTTAATGTCATTTTGTTGGTACAGTGACTTATAACAAGGAGGACGGCATCTCCATCTTTACCACTCTGGGCCCGGAATGCCTGCTATAGCGCTACGTAACTTTAGAGGAGTTGCATAATGCTTTATGGCACCATGTTACACATAAACAACTACAGCTGTGTCCCAATTCAGGGGCTGCATCTTTCGGAGGCTACATTTCAAGGCCGACTGCGCGACGGCGGCACGACGAGGCTGTCTCATTTCGAAGGCTCCTTCATATGCGGCTGAGAAATGTGTCCTTCTTTTGTCATGGCAACGAAGGATCCAATGGGTCGATCCTTTGCCAGCCAACATATCCATCTCCAGCTCCAATAAATGAAAAAATTAAACAAGAAATCAAAGTTTCTGGCTCCGTCTTTAAAGAACTTAAGAACTTGACGGGACCCACGTTTCGTGATGCAGCAGTGAGGGCGGGAACAACGGTGCTGTGACGCAAACAGAAAATCCGCCGTAGAGAAGAGCATCTCATTTCAGTTCAGCCTTCGTGGGTCTAAACAGCCTTTTGAGGACACGCCTTCATAGACCAAATCCCCTGATGTGTCTTAATGAATGCATTTATGAGTTTCTTTTATTTCGATTTATTTGCCTCAACCCACCACACTCAATCCACAAAATTCAGCTTAAATACTCACAATCACCTCAAATAATTGTAATTATCTTAAATAACTGCAATTAGGTGATTATGTAATAACTGTGACAGGTCTGCAAACAATAAATGAATAGACTCACTACCAGTCAAAAGTTTGGACAAATCTCACTAAATATGCACCTTCTGATATAATGGCTTATGCTTTAATACATATAATATAAATGAAATTCCTTCCTAGGACAAATATAAATAGTAAGCTGATGGCTTTGTACAAAATTATTTCCAAAAAAACATTTTACCTTTAAATCAAAAAAGAAAAAAAAATATGACACACCCTCTAACAAGTGGTTTTCATTAGGGACAATTTGGGGGAAATATCTAAACTGCTTTTTTATTTTCTTGTATACTAAGTAACTAAGTATTTTGTATCAATTAACGTCCAGGCCTGTTATTTTGACCAAGAAATTCAGCGCATCTGCTTTTTCTGGCCTGAGCTTTGCTGTCATTTATACAGCAAATGGATGTTTGGCTGCTGCTGCACTCAGTACTTTAACTTAAGACTCATACTTTGCACACTGTAAGGTTTACAGGTATGACTCTGTGTGTATGTGTGTGTGTGTATGAATGAGTGATGGTAGGAATGCTTGTTTTGTTTTATTTTATGTTATTTTATGTTTATTTTATTTTATTCACTACATGTAAATGTCTGTCTGATACTGTGCACTGTGAGCTCCTGTAACCAAAACCAAATGCCTTGTATGTCTAAGCATACCTGGCCAATAAAACTTGATTCTGATTCTGATTGGTCTAACTCATCTGCATGTGGTTCACAAGCTCTGTGTTATCTCTGTGTCAGCTCTAGCCAACCGAAAAATGCCCTCTATCAAATCTATCAAACTGTGATTTTAAAATAAAAACGATTAATCTTTCAGCCCTGCATTTTACCAACAACAAAGTCTCAGCATCCTCCTCACGAAGCAGCTTGAGTAAAATATATATATATATATATATATATATATATATATATATATAGAGAGAGAGAGAGAGAGAGAGAGAGAGATTCAACACTCACACACACACACACACACACGCGTATATGCCGTTCTGCCTGCACCCAAAAACAAACCCACATCAATGGGGCTGAAAGCTGAAGCGCTCAACAAGATTAAATGGGTTTAGTTCAGCTACTGCTGTTTACACACCCTACCCCCAAAATCAATCAGCTAGTCTACCATTACCCTGCTTACTGACACCTCTCACTCGCTCTCTCTCTCACAGTCTCGCATCATATTCCTCCATTTAAAGTCACCCTCTTTTTCCCTTTGGTCTCCCCCACCCAGCCCAATCGGCCTCTCTCCATTTTGCCCTTGCCTCGATCCCTCTGTCTTTCTGTTGTTTGTGCGTGAAAGTGCTTAAAGGCTGTAAACACACAGTCAGCTTTTCCTGTAACTGCAAGCTTACTAAACCATTCGGCTCACCCTGTTGCCACTGCAGGGGTTCCCAGTCCTGGAATACCCCTGTCCTGCTTTTATACACATTACCCAACTAATCAGCTAATTAAAAAGCTAAAAGCTAAAAATAGAGTGCGCTGGAGGTGGGTAAACACTGAAAAGTGCAGGACAGGTGTACTCCATGACCAGTGTTAGGAACCACTGTATTAATGGTAAGGTAATTAAAGTGGAATTTTTCTAAATTTCTGAATAATTCAGTCCTTGTGATGTAAATAGCGTCATTCAGAGTGGTTTGATGTGAAGTGATTCATTGTAGAGAAACTTACAGACTCTGATGATTTCTTTATAGAGGTGGTGATAGGAACGAGAAAAAACCCTGGAAACCTGAAAAATAAGTTTTCTTTGAGGACTATTTTGCCTTACAATGCCCAGCGTGTACCCCTCCACCATGAATGGACTAAAATAAACGGATTAAAACACATTTTCAGCCAAAACTTTATCACAAACT